TGCGCCAGTCAGCCAAATTACCACTGCACAGAAAGTAAACCAGGTTGGAGCTGGCGAGCTTTCTGCGCAACTTCAGCGAAGACTTTTTCCACGAAATTGTCACTGCGTCTTGATGAATATGTGACACCTCCCCCTACTACGCCGCCACACCCATCTCGGCGCACGTCCGTCTACCAAAGGCTGCGCACGGTGTTGCACCGCACGAAATTACCACTGCGCAGGCTGCACCGGACGAAATTACCACTGCGTGGGCTGCGCCACGCTGCGCCACCCTGCGCTGCGCCAAGAAATTAGAGCCCTTAGTGTAATGTGGGGGAAAAAAGCCACTAGATGGCAGTGTTGACATTTTTTTTTTTGTTAAGCCCAGTCTAAAGCTAGGTTTGGGGCATGTCCTGGTCATGCCTCAGAGGGCGCTGGAAAAGAGTATATAAGGAGAAAAATTGAGAGTGGTAGGTAGTAGGAGAAATTGCAAGGAGAAATTGTGGAAGGATACATTTGACCAGACCTGTCACTCTTTTCAAGACCTGTGAAGCTTTTTGTGGATTTTTGCCTGTGTTGGAGCATTTTCCTGTCCCAGGACATCGCAACATAGCAGCGCCATCTCAATTACCAAGGGACAGTAAATATCTCATTTTTTGTTTTATTTCAATCTTGGTCAGTAGATGTAGATTGTAGATTAGTTCAAAGTGTTTGTTTAATTAAATCTGTTAAAGTTTGAAAATTTTGTCTGTCATCCCTTGCTGTCAGCTACCCCATAACAAATTGGGGCCAAAACAAATTGACGCCATAATATTAGCAATTAATTATTCTACATTTCATCAGTCAACAGAAATGTTGGTTACGGTACACATTCTGCGCACTAAACATTACTGTCCCAAACTGAGCGGGCAGCACAAATAAAATCAAGTAAACATATTCTTTGAGTCTCACGTATCACCACTGATATGTTGCTCTGAATATTATTGAATCATGTTTTACCTTTATATAAACCTGCTGTAGCCCCTGAGAAACAAGCAACATCCAATCTTACTGGATTGCACAGGACGCTGCGAAGCGGCCAGTGTAATTTGACGTCTACAGTGGCCACCTACATAACAACAGAACTACATGAAAAAATGGGCTGCTGAATGCCATGGTTTTCATATAGCTCTGCAGCTGGCTAGCTGGCTACTGTAGGCGTCAAATAAAGGCGTATGCAAATCATGTTAGTGCAGAACACTTCAACTGAGCCAGAAAGACAAAGCAAACATCGCTACCATAACTATTGGTGAAATCAAGGCTTTATCAGACTATGACTGAATCCCTAATAATTTTATTAAAATGCTGGCTAGCTTGGTAAGCAAGCTAACTGACAGAAGCAACGTGCAGTCCTAGTGGATTATACAAGATCTTGTGATGCAGTGCATTTTTACATATTAATTTGGAATGATGCAACTTCACAGATTCAACCAAATTTTAATCAGCTCATCTGCTACTCTATATCTGTTAGTGAGCTGTTAGAAGGTTATAGCTAGTACCATTCTTGAGATATTGAGTATGAAAGGATCGTGACTCACTCACTCACTCGCTTCCGTTATGGCCATATTAGCCCACAATCGCAAGGAATACCACACAGGCTCCACAATGAAGTTACATTGTTATCAATGGAAAATATGGCTTGCCTGCAAGCAATAAAAATTGATAGTACAATTAAATGCAATACAATCATAATAGACTATTTATTTTATTAGGCTACTTCTATTATTAGGTAACTATTATCTATGGACAGATTATTCCTTTTGTCGGCACCATCTGGTGAAAAAAGAAATAGATGTCTCAGTGCAGACGTAGTTCTGGTGAGTCATTGCAGTTTCCTTCATGTATCAGAAACAGCGCAAACTTGCGCAGATCTCATTTAAGTGACACTGGTTTCATCTAATTAACGTGGAAAATGCCCCTGAAATATGATTACGCTTCCAGCATTCATCTCCCCACCTAATTGTGTGTAGCCCTGGCAGAAAGATGCCAGGAAGTCCATGCAACAGGAAGGAAATAGGAACAGGCATATCGATCTGTCTGCACGTATATCCTCAGATGTACAGTGCCAGTCAAAACTTTGGACACACTTTGCGAACATCAGAGCACGCTCTTTTTAGAGAAATTTAAACAGCTCAACTTCTATATATACTCAGTCAAAAAAGAAACTTCACACTCGTTTGGAGGTTGATAAGTTGAACATACAAGAAAAGTGGTTTTAAATAATGATTTAATTCCATTCTGTACCCATTAAGGACGGTGTACCATAAAAATCATGTTCATAATGTAACCAGTTCCACCGGAAATGCTACGGAAATGTAAGAGAGTAAAAATGGTAAGTTACAACTTGATGAAAGCATGTCAATAGCGCGTATGCCCTCCATGAGCGTTCACAACTCTGACACAACGTCTCCTCATGGATTGAATGATGCGTCTGAACACAGCTTGGGGGATGCGTCGCCATAATTGAACCAACATGGCACCAAGTTCCTGCAAATTCTGTGGAGGGTTCCTTACTTGACGGAGTCTTCTGCCCAACACATCCCATACATGTTCTATGGGATTAAGGTCGGGAGACCTTGAGGGCCACTCCATGACATTGATGCCAGCATTCCTAAGAAAATTCGCGTTAAATTGGCCATATGAGGTCTGGCATTATCGTGTTGGAATATCAGACCTGGGCCATGAGCTGCCATGAATGGCAAAAGCTCTGGAATGAGCACTTGATCTCTGTATCCTGCAGCAGTTAGGTCTCCTTGAACGACCATCAGTCGGGAACGGGCAGGACCATTAAAGGCACCCCAAACCATAACACTACGCCCCCCAAAACGGTCCACTTCCTGCACACAACACTGGATGTTGCGTTCACGCGTCTCCTCCAAACTCTAACTCTCCCATCAGCGGTGCAAAGTGAACCTGGATTCATCACTAAAAACGACCCTATTCCAATCACGCTGAGTCCATCTCAGATGTCGTTGTGCCCAGAGAAGCCGTTGACGCCGGTGTAACTGGGTTAAAATTGGTCCACGACACGGCCGGACGTGCATGGAGACGAGCAGTGCGCAGGCGACACGTATGGTTTGGGCAGTCACACGACCTCTAAACAATTCATTCCTAGTGGACGTTGCAGTGAGACATCGACACGCAAATGATGTAAGACGATTTGTCGGTCTTCTGCTTGTGTCGTCACACATGGTCTACCTGAACGAGGTCGGTCTGCTGTGGTGCCAGTTTGTTGGAGACGTGTCCGAAGATCATGGATAGTCTGTCGACTGCATCCCATAACCCTGGCAACGTCAGTGACCGACGTTCCCGTATTCAGCATGCCAATGGCACGTTCACGTTGAATGTTTGACAGTCGTGGCATTGCAAATCAACGGATAATTGACTGTAAGAACTTGTTTTTCCGAGATGTCACTCTACCGTGCTAACGTGGGCTCAATTGCACGTGTCTCATAAGGTCACGTGACTAGGAACACGAGGAAACATGCTTTTACCTTGATGTATGCTCGCACGTGCTGCATGCTTGTGCACGTCGGAGTTGCTGTGTGTCATGATGTCTTTGACAACGCATTTACCCCTAATAATAATAATAATATCTCTTGTATTAAGTTTCAAGAAAATATTTAGAAATTTATGAGTGTGAAGTTTCTTTTTTGACTGAGTAATATGAACACAACTAGAATATTGTAAGTTGTAAACAGTCAGAAGTTAAAAGAGAATAATTTACTTGTTTGAGTAGTTTCCAAAATTTTGGTATCTTCACAGAAGCCATATCGAGCAAAGGAAACAGACAAACAAGCTCCTTCTATTTTCCAATGGTTGAATAAAAAATCAAACCATTTTGGGACCTGTTGAGCAAAAAGGTCGATGAAAAGAAAACCACAAGTGCAGCACATCTTTGGGAAGTTCGACAGCTGTGCGGCTGCAAACTCATCATAGCCATATGTTTAAAAAAAATGAAAAAACAAAAAACAAATGTGAGTTTGCTCTGCAAGTATAGCAATGCTGGTTAGTTTAATGGATTTTAGAATTAGATCCTCTTTTTGGCTAAATAAAGGGTGCTTATTTCTGAATTTAACCTGTGGGTATTTCCAAACTTTTTACTGGCAGTGTAGCTCATACAGAACAAGAGCACTCCAAGACTTCAGCATCCCCTGCCAGAGTCGAGACTGCGGTCGGCGTATCATCAGTCTATTTGCAGCATATCTGCAAAGTTTCAGGAATGTCCTATGAAAACTGTAGGAGGTAATTTCACAAGCCAATACATTCCGATACGCACAGACAGATGGATGGACAGACAGACTGCGTTACATCATAATCCCTTTTTTGGGCTGTCACCCGGCGGGGATAAAAAAAAACAGGCCCATAATCATATGTAGCAGTGTGCTCCAAACATTCATCATCATGCCCTGTTTGAATCAAAATGGACTGAGTGCACAAAAATTCACTATTTAAGACGACCCATGGCTGCACCTTATGGCACAAAACCACTATGGAGCTGCTCTGTTCTTTTTAGCTTAAGTGATATACTGAAGCATAAGTGCTGAATGCTGTGAGCTCATGCTATCTAGTATATGACATAAGAATTCTTTCACAGTCTGCTGCTGCCGTTTCTCCCTCTGCCTGGCCACACCCTTTCCACTGCTATTGCTCTCAGCTGAGTCTTGTTTACCAGCCAGTATATATGCAGCTCTGTTTCACTAACTCACAGCCAGATTGTCGTTGCAGCATGCACTACTCTTCAGCGTTTACCTTCGGTCTGACTTCCTCGAATTGACTCTGCCTGCCTCTGACGACGTCCTCTCATTCCTGCCCCGGTAAACCTGATTGCCTTCTGCCTCTGACTCTGACTCTGAGTCCTGCATGTGTGCTTCCTGGTTCCTGTTTGCCATCTTCCAAGCCCCTGTCCAAGCCACCTGTCCTGCCACTCCACTGCCTGCCTGTGTGGATATGACCCAGTCTGCCAAGCCTCAAGCCAGCCTACTCCGGTGGTCCAGTGGTAACACACCTGCCTGCAGTGTGGGTGACCTAGGTTCAAATCCTCATCAGCGCTTGCTCCCTCGAGTTCCCAGAAGAGCTTCACTCAATACCCACAAGCTCCAAACCCTGTTCTGTATCAAGTTTCTCTGCACTGCATTCTGTTTCCCCCTGCTTTTGAGTCATTAAAGATCAGTAAACTTTCACTCGCTCTGAGTGTGCTACATTTGGGTCCTGCCACTCCTATGTCACTACAATCTGGCCAGAAATGGACCCAGAACGCATTCCAACTCCCCTGAGCCGACTGGAGAAGATCGAGCCGTCCTCCAGCACCATGAGGCCATGATGTCAGCCGCTGCCTGCGACACCAGGCAATCCTTTGCAGCATTAGCCAACTAACTGCAGCAGCTGACGGCTATGGTGGCTCTGCCTGCTGCCCCTCCTGCACCAGTACCAGCTCCTGACCCCATGCTACCCATGGGGGCTCCAGAACCACGAGTGGGACCCCCAGAGTGCTACAGCGGAGACCCAGAGACCCGTGACCCCTTCCTGATGAACTGTTCCCTGCTGTTCTCCCTCCAGCCCCGTACCTTCGCTTTGGAACAGGCGAAGGTGGCCTTTGCCATCATCCACCTGACGGGCCGGGCTCGTCTGTGGGGCACCGCTGAATGGGAGAGACATTCTCCTGCCTGCATCTCCTTCCAGTCCTTTGCTGAGGAGCTTCGCAAGGTCTTCGGTTTGGGGTCTGCAGCTGCACAGGGGCTACTGAGCCTGAAGCAAGGGAGCAGAATGGTTGCAGACGACTCCATTGATTTCCGCACCAGAGCCAGCCAGAGCAGATGGAATCCTGCAGCTCAGGTGGACACCTTCTTCCACAGTCTGGCTGACTACCTGAAAGATGAGCTGGTCTCGTACGAGGTTCCCTCCACACATGACGGAATCTTCGAGCTCACCATGAGAATTGACCCCCGCATTCAGGCCCGTAGGTGGGAGAGACGTCAGGGGATTCTCCACTGCCAGACCCCAGCCCGGTCCAGAGCGGGCCCCACCTGATTGTCTACCTCGCAGATGGAGGAGTTCGAACCCATGCAGCTGGGTCGCACCCTTCTCACCCCAGCAGAACAGAAGTGTTGACACCGCCTGAACCTGTGCCTGTACTGTGGGAAGGAGGGTCACTTTGTGTCAGCCTGCCTAGTAAAAGCCAAAGTTCAACCATAGCCAGGGAGGTACGGCTGAGCTCGACTACACTTCCTCCCCACAACCACAGACCACATCTCCAAGCCGGCTCCTCCTTCCTTACGGTCACCTCACCTTAGCTGCTCTGGTGGACTCTGGTGCTGATGCCAGCCACATGAGCGAGGAGTTGGCCCGGCAGTTAGGGCTCAGTCGGATTCCTCTGCGGTGTCCGATCCTCACCCAGGCTCTTGACGACCACCGAATGGGTACCATTGCCCCCCAGACCACCCCGGTTCCCATGGTCCTGTCCAGCAATCATCACGAGACTATCCAGTTCCACATCCTGACCTCTCCTGGCCTGCTGTCAATCCTGGGCTGTCCTTGGATTCTTCGTCACAACCCCCACATTGACTGGGAAACCGGCTCCATTCGTGAGTAGGAAACATCCTGCCACCTCACCTGCCTCCAGCGTGCTTCTTCGCCTTTCCGCTGTCCCACCACCAGTTCTTCACCTGATGTCTCCGGGGTGCCTTCCGTATACCACGACCTCTGGCAGATGTTCAGCAAAACCAAGGCCACCTCTCTGCCCCCGCATTGACCCTACAACTGCGCCATTGACCTCCTGCCTACAGGGGACAGTGAAGATCATTTCTTTTATATTTTCAGGTAGGGTCATATAATAAATCAGTTTAGACTCCAGTTTTCGGTCAATCCAATGATTTATGAACCTTGGACGAATGATATCACTTGTCCAATGTGGATAAATCATTGGATTCATCTCAACTGAAGTCAATAATTGAATAATGTGATCTATGAAAATAAACACAGGAGCAGAGTGCGGAGTGTCGGGTTGATTGACTCCACAGTATCGGCACTGAGGGCTCCAGCCCAGCAGATGTTGAATTAGAACTAAATCGCCCATAAAAGAGAGCACTGAGTCCACTATGAAGTATCCTCCTACACTCATGCAGTGGGCAGACATTCAGCGCTATGGAGGAGAGAGGAAGCTGTCTGAACTCTTCTGAATCAATAAGTACGACTTCAGAAATGAGTGCTGGGGATGACTACAGCCAAAAAAAGAAGAAAAAGGGAGAAAAGCACAAAAAATACATGTGCAATATAACAGAATAGTTACTCTTTGTCGCTTTGAAAAATCTCAAATCTATTCAGGCTTTGACATCTGAGACACGTAAACATGGAAACATTGTAAGGTGGAGAGGAAACACTAAGAATTGTGTTTAACATAACACCACGTCAAACTTACGAGGTATGTTACCTAATGCTCAGCATTTTCTCATTTTCAGCCCTTCTACGGAGAACATTCACACACCATTCACACATTTGAACAATTTAGAGTCTCTAATCAGCCTGACATGCATGTCTTTGCACTGTGGGAGGAAACTGGAGTACCACGAGGAAACCTACTCAAACACGGGGAGAACACGCTAACTCCACACAGAAAGGCCCCAGGGTGGATTCTCACCCACAACCTTCTTCTTGCAATACTACCTGTCACAACCCTTGTCTGAATTCCTTTCGTGTCTCCTCCGATTCAGCAACTTGCGCGTCTATTAGGTATAAGTCTTGTCTTATTGGGGTACGTTGTGTGCATCTCCCCACCCCTGGCTGAATTGTAATGTGCTTTCTGTGCTTAGAACCACTTAGTATTACTCTTGAAAACGCTTTGTCTTTATTAAATTCAAATTGTACTTAAATGGGAGCAGTTCCTCAAAACCATTCTAGTAACTCAGTTAGCACAAAGAAGCTTCCAGTCCTAATCAGGGTCCAGGATTGAGACCGTGTTCAAGTTGACCCAGCTCTAGTCATTTCATCAGTTCCAGTTTATGAAAACAAGCTCCCAAGCCTAAGCAGGGTCCTGGATTGGAACTGCATTCTTATTATCTCTTCCAAGTGAGTTCCTCAGTCCAGTTTGCGAGGAAAAAAAGCACCTAATCCTTCTACATTCATCAGGATTGGAACCAAGTTCCCCTCAAAATACTCCATCCTCCTGTGGGACAGTTCAGTGCTGCTGAAGTCTGCTCACCAACTGGCTGCGATCCCAGAAGCCACTGGCCACTGACTGACAGCTCAGCTTTGCCTATTATACCTGAACTGAACTGCGCTGTCATTATCCAGGGCTCCATTCCTGCCTCTTCCACAGGGGTCCCATCCCCTTCACTGCTGTATAAGCTATCAATAAACTACCTGCTGGATTCTACACTGCCTCTGCCCCTGATTCCTGCTGTGGACTGTCACAGCTGCCCACTGCACCACCGTGCTGCCAGGGCATATAGAAAACGCCATTATATGAACATTGCTTAATTTCACAACAGAATGAAGACAAATGGCCATCCACTATTGAAGGACTTATCCCATAATGTTCCATGTGCCCTTAAGTACAGCCAATGCCCTCTATAACATTCTTCATAAATCAATGAAAAACATTGTAAAACCTTTAGAGTAAGAATGTTGTCTCCAATTGCCTGTGCTACCATTTTTGGCCTGATACCACCAAATACATATAGGGGTCAATTCTCCCAAGCGTAAAAGTCGAAAAAAGCGCGTAGCTACGCACTTTTCAGCCTATGCGTATTCTCCCCTCGACTTAAGTCTGTGCATTACGCGCCCTGAGGGCAGTTACGCACTTGGGGCGGAGCAAGGCTAAAATCGGGGCGTTTCCGGGCGTTTATCAGGCAAAAACACTTGTGCGTATTCACCCCCTGGTTTACGCGCTTTTTCTGTTAAGCACTTTTGAGGGCTGTATTAAGGTCAAGCGCCAACATAAGGCGAAATAGAATATTGCGTTTGATGTTGGTTATACGCCGAATTTTAACATTAATTTTGTTTTATTTAACATGGTTAAGGTTGAGACACTCAATATTCGATTGTTCATCCCTATTTCTAAACTACATTTCTCATAACCATAATAAATTATCAAATTAAATCATCATATGATATTACGCAACAGCCTGTTCTCCAATTAGTTCAATTACAAACCCATAGCATTTAATTAATACGGGTATAAATAAGACCATCATTCTGCCATGCCCTCAAAATCTACAACCAAAATGCCAGTCCTGCATTTGCTTGCACTCTTGCGTGAGTGGGAAAGAGTAAGACGAGCGCACCAAGCTCGAAGACGACCACGCATATATCGGCTTCGTTTGGACATCCCGGGACTAACAGACACCGAGTGCATCCAGCGCTTTCGTCTGGACCGTGAGGCAATCATCTATCTTTGCCGACTTCTGGATGAACAGCTATCCAGCCGCCGCGATCATCCACAAAACATACCGGTGGTCATCAAGGTCACAACTGCGCTGTCGGTCCTGGCATCTGGGTCGTTCCAGAGAGTGGCTAGTGATGTCATGCACATATCACAGGCGTCTGTGTCAAGGTGTCTGACACAGTTCGTTGACGCTATGCTGCACCACATCAGCCACTTAATAAAGCTCCCCGAAACACCAGCTGAAAGACGGAGAGTTAAGAGGGGGGGTTCTACCGGGTCGCCAGGTTCCCCAGTGTTGTGGGGAGCCATTGATTGTACTCACGTTGCAATCAGAACCCCTTCCACTAATGAGAATATGTACAGAGACCGTGAGACGCCGGCACAGCATTAATGTTCAGGTTGTGTGCGATCATGATGCGCCGCGATATTAAGCATCTGCGCCAAATTCCTGGCTCGCCCATGATGCCTATGTACTGCGCAACTGCTTGAAATGCCAAAAATTACAATAAATATTTGAAACCATATTAAGCTTGTTTCCAGTATCTATCACAGTGATACTTTGAGTATAGGCAAATAAAAATTACCATTTTACGTAACCCTCCTTCATCCGTATCCAATCCAAGTTCTTCTCCGTGCACTTCCACTGCAGAAAGAGTGGATGCCACCTCCTC